AAGACAAGCCCAAATGTTGAGTACGTCGGGAAATCCACGAATTCGGGTCTTCCTCCACACTTTGAGCACCAACAGCGACATTTTCAGCTGAACGAATGTTGCGATGATGCACAGGCCTTACAATATCAGTAACCGATCTGGTCTCTTCCAATTTTTCCACTGTGTTTGAAATTGTTTGCTCTGTGGGTACATTATGTCGACCGTATCTGCTCGTAAAGCCCTAAACGTTGAGACAGCAAAATCACCATTTTTGTAGCAACATTTAATAATTTTTACGCGTTCTTCTACAGTTAAACGATCCATATTCCAAAAAGGCAAACCTTCAACTAAAACAAAACGCTTCCTACCCTTTTTCTTACTTTTACTTTCCCAACCTCGAATTGGATAACCCGTTATATTAGCCATTGTTAATTGAGCCAACGATCTGCTTCACTTTAGAGCCAAGCAAGAAAATTGGATAAAATAAGTCTTCAAATCGCGCAACAAAAGGCCACTTAGTTGGTACACAGGGCGCAAAATTCTACGGATAGGTTTTGCTCCAGAACGCTCCAATATAGGCGCCCCACTCTGTATAACTTGGAGTATCTATTATGGATATCCACTAGCTTATTAACTGATTAAACCCAAACCGCCCCCATATCATTTTAGCATCGAAAATAAAAATAAACAGCAATAATTGTTAGTTGGTGAAATAAAGCGCAATGGCATTGAAATCCCTACTCATAGTGCTTTGCTTGATCTTCCATGTTATCTCAAAACCGACTGACTCAGAGCTGGAGGATGTACGAGTAGATGGTGCTGGGGTTTCGACTGCATTTCCTAAAGCTGCAGAATCGAGTTCGAAAAAAAGCCGGCTTCTTCATATATTTAACGCCCCATGCAATACAGGCTACATTTGCATTAGGAGCAAATGCGTGAAAATCTTTTCGAACTCATAACGTTGTAAGTACGTTTGTTGTAGGGAAACCGTTAACCAGATCGCTTAATAAACAAGCACTTGATTACTTATCAGGAGACAAATCCATTGTCTTATCAACTAGATTAATCTCCCTATCTGTTCCATTAATTAATTGAGCAGCCGAATTCGTGTTATTGTGTCGAGTATTGCAATCCACAGCTATTCGGCAAAAAATCAACATGAATTTCCAAGTGGTTTTGTTTTTGAGCGTTTCGTTGCTATTTTTGCAACAATCCAGCGCTTCTCCTGTTGGCTCTAAACTTGACCACCGATCAGAAAATCCACAATCTTCAGGCTTTATAGTTGCCAGCATTATTAACGTACCTTGCAAGACTGGTTATGTGATGGTTAACGGAAATTGTGTAAAAGAAGTTAATGGAAAATGGTAAGTTGAATTTTCCAGGTTTGTTCCTTGGTTTTTTGGAAATGCAGTGTTAGTTCCTTGACTGCAAAAGGAGTTTTTCAATTGACCGATTTTCTAGATGTTTCTGTTGGGATTTGTTCTTTGGTGACTCACTTCTGTTCTTATCGTTCGTGATAATCAAAGAAACATTTGGCTTAATTGCTAGACCTAGAACGTTCCTCAAGTTCTCCTATACTGCACGAAATGCTTTTTATTTTTCTGATTAAATCGCTAGGGTTTTTTCCATTAATTTTGATGTAATTCAGCATACTTCTCATTTAACTGAAGTTCCAGTCTCAGAAGAAGATTCAGTCTTCAGAAAGTTTCCTTCTTGTATCCGTGGCACTTAAGATTTTTGTGGCCCAGAAAGTAACATTTTCTCGCGTTAGGTTTTGCTTGAGTTTCAAATGGACCTGCTCCTAAGTCGATCATGAAAATTGTCATTTTAAGTTTTTTATTATGGTCAAAACCTTCTTCAATTTGAATTGTACTTGATTTCTGAGTTTTCTAGCCTTATTTACGGGTTAACCATCCCTGAAAGCATCACTTTCTTATAGACAGTGTTTCCAGAATTTGCAATAAAATTCGTGGTTGAACTATTAAGAAAAAATACTCAGTTAATCAAAAAATTAATGAGTTTCTGCACGAAAATTGCATGATTTTTTGAATTTATTAGAATAGAGCACTTTAAGCAATGTGAATAATTTCTAATATGTTTGACACTAATAGTGGAACGCTTCTTTACACCAAGTCTGTACGAAGTACCCGAAATATTAATGAAACTTCAACATGAAATAGCTGGAAACATTATTTCGACTTCGACTATTTTTTACAATTGGTATTATAAGAAACAATAGGCTTATTACAGCAATAATGTTAAATTAGATTTAATAGATTCAAGCAAGTTATTAAGAAGAAAAATTTTATGTATACGTTAGACCAAAAAGCTAATTGGCTTCGGTATTAAGAAGTGTTCTCAGCTCTGAACTGGTTAGTGTATTATTTTGAGCTCATGCAACTTCAACTATTCCCTTAAAAACTTTTCAAAGTTTTTTTCTACCATTTTCACGTACAATTTTTTTATGAAAACATATGTTACCTTGATTGATACCTGATTAAGCCCTTGAGGTCCTGACTTCCTAACTTTTTCGTTTGCTTCAAATTGCTTCAATATTCACAAACGTTCATTCATTCCAATGGAAACATGATCGTTGTCTGACTTCAATCCAATACGCCTCTGATCATTTTACAAAACGTTTTGTTGAAATAAAGCTGGTAAGTATTCTAGATTGAAAACTGTAGCATTATGACGCTCAAATATTTAGTCGCATTCTGCTTGTTAATCCATCTGAAACTAAAACTAACTAAAGCCGAACTTGAAGAAACAGATAGTGAGACTGATGGTACTTCAACTGTAACTGCTGAAACCGAGTCCACTATTTCTCATGTGCAATTTAATGTGCTTACGGTTTTTAATATCTTTAGTGCTCCTTGTAGAGCCGGGTATATTTCATTGAAGGGCAAGTGCGTTAAAACCTTTGAGGGATAACACAGAAGTAAGTAAGAAATTATTAATAAATAAGAAAGTCAAGGAAAGACGCTTTATTGTTCTGCCGTCTTCAGCTTCTCTTAGTCTACATCAAGAACATTTTCTGGACGGTTTTTTCTGAGAAACAATAGATTTCACCCCATCTTATTACAACAGAATATTAAGTAACGTTGCCTGTTTTTTCATATCGGAACTTGTCGTTCGCTTTTTGAGCTTTTACAAAGTTATCTTTAAACATTGTCAGTTACTTTTTCTGTGATTTCCTCCATTACTTTTTCGAATCAGTGGTATCTTTAAACTTCATTCTATAAAGCAATTTAAACCGGAGGTTTAGAGCGATTCCAACAAGTCACTTCTTGTGAGGTAGAATAATCTCCTATTAAAGAAGATAAATGCAAAAAAGCAGGAACTAGATGCAAAAGAATAAACTCGTGAAATTGTTAAAATTACGACAGACAAACTATTTCAAAATAATGGAAATTTTCAAACATGCCAAAGCAGTCCATGTATATTTTTTCCAATTTAGTTTTGCCAATTTTATCAGAATCTCTCTTTGCTTTAACTATATCAATTAGTTGACTTGTTTTATTTTTCATTCTTGAATCTCTTTTTTCTCTAAGTTTCTTTCTCTATTTTGATGATACACTTTTTCTTTCTTGTTACCGGAGACTTATACAAATGCCTCATATTATATTCTATGTTCAGTTGGCAAATAAAATAGTGAGTTCAAATATATTTAAAGTTCTGACAAAGTCGAATAAAATTTGCAATTGTCTCCTCGTTTTTAAACGTGGGGAATTCGTGAAATTTTTCTATTGCTTTCAATGTTGCTTAACTTGCATTGCCTAAGCGCTCACAAATAGTCATAAATTCCGGTGAAAACATTAGTTTTGTCTGATTTCAATCGAATACGCCCCGCATCGCGGTTTTTTACATCTTTAGGGCTCCTGGTCAAGCAGCATATGTTTTAATCTGCGTACAGTGTGTTAAAATGTATAGGAGGATCACATATAATTAAGCAATAAAGAGCTGTATTCATCTACCCTTAAAGGTTCTTAAAGCAAATGAAGATATTTTTACGGAAGTTTATAACAAGCAGAAGAAAACTGATGTTGATTTCAAACGCAGTTTTATCAGCTCTTAGATCCATCTGTCGTCAAGCAGCGAAATACTCCACTTCAATTCATTAATCCAGTGATAACGTGCCTGTTTATGCTTTATTGAGTGGTATAATTTGTGACGGTTTTACCAGAAGAGGTCACTTAAGTGTTGAAAATAACAGAAATTGATTCTTTATCATCGATCTCAAGGAATAATTCCTTAGTACTTAGAAGAACCTGTATGAAAATCTACAAGAGTACCTAAATACTTTTAAATGTACTGAATAGGGCCAACGTAATGTAAAATATGTCCAAACGGTAGCACTGAAAATATTCTTAATCCAGCCAAGAAGATTATTTTTTTTTTAATTTAGCTAGAAACTTAGAACTAAGAGCGACTTAAAATTTGGGAACCAAACGCAAGTTTTAGCCTGGACCAACCTCGTTTTCCTCCTAAAAATTATAATATTAAATTGCCTGCCCAATAAAATGTAAATCATTGAAACTTCTTTGAATGCCATTTTCCTTGCAAATATGTCCCCTTTAGTAGGATCTACAGCTTGCTGCTTAAATAAGACAATATTTAGAATCACACACAAACACCTCACGCAATACGTTCTGGTACAGTCAACTATTTTTCAAACTTAGATTCATAGAAGATGAACCAGTTAATAGCGCGTTTCAAGGCTTATTTTAAAATTGGCTGCAATTCATGAGAAAACGTTAGTTTCATTGGCTCATCCGGTAGATTTTCCGAATTAATCTCGTCCAAACAAAGTCTTGATTTAATTTAAAAAACACCATCCATCAAATCGAACCTTATCCGACCACCGGACTAATTGACATATTTATTTGTTTCAGAGTCAAAGCGTTAATTTAACCCGATGGCTACACGCTTGAGGTCTCCAACTTTAACCAGATATTAATTTTTTTATCATTACTTTTATATGGTTTATCATATACATGTATTGTAATTTATAATGCTGTTATCCATGTCCCAATAAAACTCATTGATAACTGGTAACAATGTGCTTATCTACCATCATGAATGGAAATGTTTTATAACACTGTTCCTATTGTCTTAGTTGTTTTTTCTCCTCCTTTTTTCAGCTGATTGGTGTTTTAGTTTTTATTGATAAATTACATGACATATGCACATTTTTTGCATGTGATTGGTTGTTGAGTTGCTGAGACTTCTGAAGTGGAAGTAGAGTAAAACCTTACTATTGAGCTGGAAAAGAAAAAGCACATTAAATGATAGGAAAATTAAACATTTTCAATTAATTTCGTTTACTGACATCAAACCGTTCTCGGAAAGTAGAAATACATAATCGGACGTTTTTACTTACGTTACGACTTTTTTAAAACTTTATTTAATTATTTGGCTTGCGATTAAGTCGGAACAATCAAGGAAAGGCTAATAAACTCGCCGATTCTTTGGCTGTCTATAAACGATGTGTCGCTAAACTGGAGTAGGAGTTTCCGAAAAAATAAATTACTTTTTTCTCACAGTGTTTCTTTCTCAGAACTGAAGCACTGAGGTGTTTTACGTTGCAAAAACCTTATAGTCACTAGGTGAACTCACAGAATCTACTTTCTTCATTTGCTTCGATGTATTGCCAGGATATTTTTCTGCCCTCCTCTTTACTTAAATTGGCCCGTTAACAGCCTTGTTTTGTTCAATTTTTACTACCCAGAGTTGATGAGTATTTGTGTTACTCCCATAAATTTCTTTATTGTGTATTTATTACGAGTTCTATTGTTTTCAGTAAGTATATTAACTGAATCAAATTACCATGGGTGTTATTAGATTGTGCAGTGATTGAAATTTTTATTCTTGGACAAGCGCATACTATGACCTTCGCAAGTTTCCTGAAGTTTCTCCTGCTCTTTCAATCAGTCATTCCAATAAGCCTGTCGACCAGTTCAGGCGATTTATCTGTTGCAAAACCGAGATGGTACTATCTTCATTGTACTGACTGTTACCGGCCAGATGCTAAGGGAGAAGCATGTGTGTATATAAAAAATTGCATCAGACGTAAGTAGTACTGTTGAAAATAATATTGCTTCAAATTGTACCCTTTTGCTATTTCAGGTCGCCTGAGAAGTCGTCAGTATTTTGCATACATGGTGGTCTAATATAAGCTACAGAGTACAGAAGTTTGTAGATACGTATTTAGCCGCTGCTAGAGGCAATTAGTTCTCAGTTCCACTGTGCGCTTCTCCATAAACAATTTGCAAAAAAAACCGGACAGAACTTTAATAAAATTTTATTATTATTAACTGGACTGTTATTAAGAGCGTCAGCAGAATATTCCAATGAGGGTAACGGAAAGCGTCTGCAGTGTGAGCATATCTTTGCGTTAGCATTTCTCCACTTACAATGGAGGATAGCATGTCGTACATTCCGATCCGCAAGAGGAAAAAGTAACAAATGAGCGCAAAAACAGTGCGAAAGTTGACACTAAGCAAGAATTATGACGTCAATGAAGGTAGGACGAGGTTTAGCCGACTTATCCAAGATCTGGCAGGATATTTGGGCGACTAGAATGATTCTAGAAAACGGAATGATGTTTTTTGCATGTTTTAAAAAGCAAGTTTTTTTTCTTTCACTCACCCTTTAAATGAGGATTAATTTCATTTATTGTCTGATCTTGAAACTGAATTATTCGCATAAATGCGTTTGATTGAAGTGTTTTAGTTTGCAGTATAAATATGTATTTCATTTTTATATGAAATAACGGATTAAGACCTTTAGGGGTAGAAGTCACATTAAAATTCTATTTCCAGTCAAATATATTAAAAAATATACATATATTGGTTGTTAGCCGAAAACTGATTTTTTCAGGGCACAAAAGTACAGTATGGACTTTGAACTTTAAAACTGAAATCAGGCTTTAAGTTTAATCTTGGAAACCCATTTCAAAATGTTGCCTTCAACTTGCAAACTTAAAACTGTTGACCAAAGGCGCAAATTTGGAACTCAATTGCAATGAGCTTCTACAATAGGGTCTTTTCATTTTTTTTAAATGTTGATATATATGTAGAAACTAGTTATGTCAAACATTACAATTTTTTTGCAAAAAAGTCTCCATAATAATTTTAAAGCGAATTTAAATTCAAATCAGATATTTTCCGCCTAAAACGCCGAATCCGTATCGCCGCCTATCCCGATTGTGACGTAGCAGGTCATATCAACAAAGAGTCTCGTGCTTATTTGTTGTTTTCGCAGCTTTGTTTCATTATTTAAGTTATTAAATCATTATCTTATTTATCATTATTTATTGATTATTATTATTATCTTGCATAATGGAAAATAGTGACATGTATGGATCATAAAACAAGTGGTGTTTTGTGCCAGGTTGCAAGAATACCTCAATAAGTGCTCCAAACAAACTCTTTCTAACCGTTCCTCATGATTATGCACGTACAGTTTTATGGTTCAAAGCAGATAGACGTGAAGTATGAAGACATTTTAGCGAAGAACTCACAGTCTAAAGTTTATTAACACTCAATTATATT